AATTCATTCATTTAACAGATTCATTCATTCAACAAGTATTTATTGACCTTCTACTATGTGTCATGGCCTTTTCTATATGCTGAAGACTGCAGGCAAGTAGGATTCCTACACTCCTGAAAGAGTAAATAAATACTACTCAGTATGGCATTAAATGAAGTGTTTTGGGGGGTTTGGTAAGCCTAAAGCACTGAATCTTTGAAATCCATGTTCTTCCATATGTCTGAAATAAAATTAGGTCTCTGATGAAGAGTTTCCAACACAGTAAAACTCCAGGGCCCAGTGGAGACAGGGGTGTTGGCAGAGGCAGCAATGCTGGAGGAAAGAACTGGTGGAAAGCCCAGGAGATAAGGCCCTGCCCCGGGGGTCCACTGACGTGGTTGTGACCATGACTGCTAACCTATCTGGGCCTTAGTGTGTTCCTCTATAAAATGAGGAGTGTGCCCTGAATGATCTCTAAGGCCCCGGGCACAGCATGTAACAGCCATGCTCATTCTGCCCCAGCAATCGCCGGGCAGCACCAGGAAATGGTATGTGACACTGCAGAAACAACCTGACCAAAGTTCTGAGAGGCATCCAGAAAACAGCCCTGGCTTGTGCTGGGTTCTGTTCCCTACAAATGTGGGAGTTGTGCTTCTGCTCAGAGAAGTCTAAGCGAACAATGCATGGATATAATGCTGGACCAAGCCCCTCATGGGGGAAGGAATCGCCTTATGATAAATTTCAAGGTGTCAGGGTGGGATACAGAATTAGCCCTCCATGTTCAGGGCAAGAGTTACACTCTACAGGCAGGAGGGGATTGACCTTCTCTCCCAGGAAGGTCCCTTGGGATTCTGGCCAGACTTTTGGCTCCAGCTGGGCCTCAAGAACTACCAGGCAGGATTTATCACTGTTAATAATAACTGGCACATGACTGAGTGCAGAACCGAAACTCAGATGACCAAGTAACTGATTGTGTCCTTAAAAGAGAAGGAAGAAGTTTGAGTGAAGGAAGAGGGTTTCAGAAAAAGACGCACACAGGTACTTAGAATGTGATTTCTGTGCACTGGCCACAAACCCACAGCCTGCCCTGCTGGCTCAGATACTTACACTTACTCCAAGGTATTAGGCCGTTTCTCAGACCAGATCGTTGTCGTGGAAAAACACCATAGGTCTTCCCAGCTAGTGCTTTGAATTTCCTTTTTTGCTTCCTCTTAACCAGACACATTTTCACATCTGCTGCTCCCTCCCAGGTGGTTAGGTGATTCAAATCAGTGTTCTGATTAAGGAGCAGTACCTGGTTTGGTTTCACTCCCCTTTTTTCCTCAGTGCCTTCAATGGCTCCCTCAGAGTGTTGGGTTAAAGGTGCAAGGCCACAATGTCCTTAAACGAGAATGAGGCCAAAATGCACTCAGTCGCTGATTTGAATTGTGACTGTTTGGATGAGAGGCCAACTATACAGTCTCCAAGAATCCCCAGCCAAAGGGCTTCTGCCCTCACAGCTGGCAGAGGGACATGGAATGAACAGTCTTGATTTCTGCTCTTTATTCAAAGGGGTTCCAATAGTCTCAGACTGTGAATGAGTAATGATGATTTTTATAGGATAAATGAATGAATAGAGAAGATTTTTACAGGGTCAAATGGATCCCCCTCCCCCTCTCCTTTTTTTCCCCTGGATTTAATTCAAACCTAAGATTTGGAAGTGAGTTCAAATTTGACTATGACATAATTTCATTTCCCTTGACAAGTTAGGGAAAATAAAAATATTCATAGAGAATATCCAGGAGAATGGGGCAAACATTGGCAAAATTAGGAAGCAGATAAGACTGGGTGGCAGCGTCTGGCCACCGGTACTGGTACAATTGCCTTTGGGGCATCCTCCATTGCAGTCCACTAGCAAGCCAACACATAGTCTGATCAAAATGAACTTATTCTATGCCCAGTGGAGATAAAGCATCTTTCAAAATGGCCATGAATGAGGGACAATGAAATTACAATCAAAGATGCTTAGAGAACTAAGCCTCTCTAAATAAACCAAGAGAGTGGACCTGGAACACAATTTTAGGCAGTGGGGGAGATATTTTGAGACAAGGGGACTTTTCTATTATAATTTCTCCCACATTTTATCCTCCCCTGATGAAATTTAAATTTGCAGTTTTTTTTCTTGTTTATTTTTTTATTTTATTTTTTTTCTTTCAGAGAGGTTTTTGCTATAGGGTGCGTGCGCTCACCAGAAAGACAGAGAGACAGAAAGCAAGAAATCACTGCCAGGGGAGATGGCCATGCCACAATCCCTTCTTCTCCATTCTCCTCTCGGGATCTTGGGCATGCATGTGTATGCACCTGGCATGAGTTTAAGCCACCAGGTCCAGAACTTGAACCGCAGTCAACTACATGGGAGTCCAGCGACATAGCCATTATGCTAACCGCTGGTCCCTCAGATTTGTTTCTTGACTTAACTCCTTTCACTCAGCTTTGGCATTGTTCAGTGCATTATAAATTAATCTACTGTCATTGATATTTCAAGTACTTATGAGCCAAAAATCTCTGAACTCAAATTTCTTTGTAAATTTGCAGAGAAGCTTGCAGACAGCTTGCCAGATTTCAACCTGGGACAATTTTACTATCTCTAATTTACCAACCTAGACATAGGTTTATAAAGGAAATTCTTAGTGATAAATTCTTAGCAACTGACACAAAACTACCTCACTGCCCTGGACTACAGTCCAGACTGGACTGTTATGTTCAAGTTCTGGCCTTTGACAAATGAAATCTGTAAAGACGGAAGCCTAACCTACCTGTTTCACCCTGGAGTGCTCAAAGGAGAATGAATTAACTTCCCCCAGCCAAGCCAGTAGTCCCCGTCCTGAGCCAGAAAGCAGTGGCTCTTAACAAGGAAGCAAAAAGGAAAGCCACAGTGCCTTCATTATACTGTTAAACTGTAATCACCTTTTCCTACAAGCATCTTCCTGTTTTCCCTGAAGGGAGACTGTTAACGGCCATGCCGTGCAGAGATGCCAGCTCAGCAAAGAGCACTTCCTGTGGGCCCTGGAGGTAGGTGCGTTCAG